TTCCATATCTTTCACGAACTCGATGTCCAACACTGGTTCCTGCAACATCCCTTCATCTTGCACTGGACCAACCGCATTTACTCCTTCATCCACATTCCAGGCACCATCCTCTTCCTCGTTTGGCTCTTCTACTACACCACCACCCGCAACCGCCTGGACCTCCCTCTCCCCAACAAGCCCCTGGGTGAAGCCGACGGCTCACCCGCCGGCCCCCGTCTCTTCGCCGCCCGCCGCCGCACCATGGCCGTCTGCAACCTCATCGCCTTCGTCGTCTTCACCCTGTGGCCGTGCATGCCACCCCGCCTCCTCTCGGACCCCAACGTCTCCGGCGACGTCGGCGAGGAAGCCCGCGCCTTCGGCTTCGTCGACACGGTCCACGGCACCAAGGGCGAAAGCTCTGTTTGGACGCAAAACAAATTCTGCAACCAGTACGCCGCGATGCCCAGCCTGCACTTCGGATACGCCCTCCTCATCGGCCTGACCATCTGCTCCATCCCGCTCGCGCCGCAGCACCACCGCGCCCGCTCGTTTCCCCTCCCGCTGCTCCGCGTCCGCGTACGCATGCCCGCCCCGCGCCGCCTCGCATGTCTCGCCATCGGCATCGCGTATCCCACCATCATCCTCGTCGCCATCGTCGCGACGGCAAACCATTTCATCCTCGACGCGGTGGCGGGCGCGTGCGTCTGCGGGCTTGCCTGGACGGGTAACCGCGTACTGCTGAATTTGCTCCCCGTGGAGGACTACTTCCTGTGGTGTGTGCGGATCCACAAGCCGGAGCGGCGGACGGTGCTGCTGGACGGCGAGGAAGAGGAGAGGTGGGGGAGTGAGACGGTACGAGGGAAGGGGGCGCTGTTCAATTAAGCCCCAAGCCCTTGCTCTTGCATGTCTAACATTCTTCTGTTTGGTAGGATTTCGCGGTATGACGGTGTTGTAATGGATGGACCGAAGTGGGAATGTTTGTGAACAATTGGAGCGGGGCTCAAGAGAAGAGAAGAGCAGAGCAGAGCAGAGCAGAGCATTGTTGGTGTTGACTTGCGTTGCATAAGCGCTTTTTTCTTTCTTGGTCCGAGATGGGCATACGACATTTCTCGTTTTGAGCCGCCTCGCACCTCTCTATTTTTCTTCTTTTCGTCTATTCTTCTCGCACGGGATACCCATTGCAGATGGGATGGCTGTACGAACGAAGCTCACGGAACCGGTCGCTGTACACACCTATGTATTCTTAGCATTGCTTCCCCACGCACGCTAATGCTGTAATGAACCTCTTTACTCACATGGTTCGAAGCGGAGTGTCATGCCTTGCTGTACGCCTCGTTGGATGAGGATGGCACGTCGCGAGAAGTGGAATGAGTGACCTCGACTGGGGAACCCGGATAGACGGTCGGATCTCCCTACTTGCTTATTTACCTCCCCCGTGGACGACGTACGATAGGCCCGCGCGTATAACCCGTAATCGACACCCAGCGCCCCGCACACCACACCTCGCCGTAGCCTCTCCCGCGTCGTCGACCTCCCACCTCACGCGGGTCTCGCAATAGCATCCTCATGCAGCGATTACCTAGGTAGTGGTTCCGTTTTTTCTTTCTTTCTGTATGCAGGGTCCAGCTAAGCTTTCGGGGTGGTGTCGGGATGGTGAGCCGAGGTGGGCCACTAGAGGGTGAGGATACCGAATTTGCCGGTTGCGTGGGTAGGCTGTGCGTGGGGGGGAGGTGGCTTGGGCTGGGGATGGGATGGGGTGGGGTGGCGCGTGTCTGGGTACGGTACGCGGATCGTGCGGTGGGAGGGTGCGTGTGTGGCGGGGGCACAGCGCGGGATGCAATGATGTGGTGTTTGTGTTGCAAGTTAGGGTGGAGTGGAGATGATAATGAGGTGGGAGTCTGTGCGCTATGGAAACTAGGATTTACGATGTGGGGTTTCGGCACGGCAGGATTACGAGGTGCAGTAGTGCTGGTGCGTTCGGGTGCGGTCGCGGGGTGAGGATGGGTCGCGTGTAGATTCTGGTAACGTCTGATGTGCGGTGTGATGGAAAGCAGGGGTGGAACTAAGGTGGGACTAGGGTTGGGTGACATCCCACTGGGACGAACCGTGGGCATGCTCCCTCTATCTAGCAGCAAGTGGCCACCCGTATTGGTATCTTTGTTAAAGACACTGTTGCTGCGGCGCTTGCGGGCATGATACGAATCGACTACTTGCGAAGAACTCTGAATCTCATCGGAAAGCTAAACACATCGAGATCAAGCACCATGTGTTGAGGAACCGTATTCAGGGACGCATACAGTAGATTGAGAAAATACAGGGCTGTTACAACTCAACAGGTTATGAGCCCGGGTGCTGGTAGCAGGAATGAGAATGTGTGCACTGATAGATAGCTGAGAAGGGAAATATTGAGAAAATTGACAGTGATAGAAACTGGTATCGTATGTAAGCTTGAATTGACTCCAATACTTGTAAAAGGTTGTGTACTAATCAATACACGGTTGCCCCGTCATCTACAGCGACAAAGACGCGCTTGTTGATCACTGCCGCGCCCACGAGCGTGATCCGAGGGGCCTGTATCAGTGTGCCTTGCAGAAGTTTCTTTCCACCTTCCATGGTTCAATGTTGATAGCTGGCCAATATTCTATAGATATATACACTATAGAGAGCTAGCCATTAGCGCTATCTTAGACGAAAACTGAGCGCTTGGTGGTGCTGTCTTAGATGAAGACTGAGCGCTTAGTGGCGCTGTCTTAGACGAAGATTGAGCACTTAGTGGCGCTGTCTTAGACGCTGTCTTAGACGAAGACTGAGCACTTAGTGGCGCTATCTTAGATATATGCAATATACCCTTTACTTCACTATCTAATATCCCCGCCTGAATACAACTGATATCGTATACTAGTCCCTAAGCTGACTATGTATCAACTCCAGTGGCTTGGTGGCGAAATGCTGTCGTGTGAGGCTCTCTTCTTATCCAGAGCAGGTACATGGCCGCTGCACGACGTACGCCAATTCGGTTCTTATTTCCGCCTTGCCTACCATGCCTGCAGACCAGCGTGCCTAAAGGTGAGCTGCGTGACGACGGGAGAGCTTATGACTGTTAATGAGCTGTGCCTTGACTTGACAAAGTAACATATTGTATACCAGCCAGCGGACAAACCCAGGCAGTCCCTCTAGCCAGCATGCCGAGAGTTACCTCACCCACCGCCCAGCTGCATTGCGTTTACTTCTTACACTGGGCAGCCCATCGCTCACATGCCTTGCTCGTCATGGTACGTCTCTCTGCGAAGGACGCCCGGTCGTCTGCTGCGATTACTTCATACTTCAGTCCTGTCTCAGTTTGAGACGACGTGCTGCGCGCTGTCAAACGTGTAAAGACTACAGCAGCAACCTCACCCGCTACGACAGCTTCTTCCACCGCGACAGCTCCATCCATCGCGACAGCTTCGTCCACCGCGGTTTCGTCCACCGCGCCAGCTTCCACCGCGACTGCTTCAGCAGATTCTCCACGTAGGTTATCAGAAGCTTGCTTTTCTTCGACGTGTCTAATAGTTGAGCAGCAATGCAGCCGCTACAGGCTGATGGTCCATACATTTGTCCTTTCCAAAACTGCCCGCAAAACGGACACGAGTACGCATCATAAGAGTCTCTCTCAGCACTGCCGTCTATCCCACCTTGGCAGGGTCAGCGATCCTAGCTCGCTATTCCAGAATGGGACGCCCAAGATTCCATGTCAGCGAGGCTGCGGCACCCTCTTCTCCTCATACACGCAAGTCGTCGACCACGCGAAGCCCTCACGAGAGTGTAAAGCGCCAAACAGATTCAGAACATCCGCTGCCCGTGGAGTGGCCACACTGGCTGCCCAGTTGTATGCAGCGACAAGGACGCACTTGCTAACCACAGTCGCGCACACGAGCGTGATCTAAGGAGCCCGTAATACTATGCTATAGGCTATAAGTAATTTTACTTATACATACATATGCTGGCGAACCATGAGGCAGAATGTAATAATAGAGGTTCAGCCATTGAGGACGCTACCCTGCGTTGCATGCTAATCCCCTCCCTGATTCGTGCACTGTGTTACCCCGCGGTCCCTTCTTGCTCAAAAGTATAGCTGATGTATTGCATTGCAAGTCGTTACGCCATACATCATAAATGTATGGTTTGGCTTTCATTACGATGCTTGGCTATTGTAGCTCACCTCGCGGAAGGACCTGGCAGGGCATATGATGGAGGGCCCCGGTCTAGCTAGGATCATCACTCATACAATACAATACTTTGCATACCTATTCTGTATGACGCCGGCTCACATACCACGTTGGCCTGTAAACACTTCTTACTGAGAGAGAATGCCACGATCCTAGATTGGCAGCCCTCAATCAATCAAGCGATTCGTTCCTACTGCCCAGTCCTCGGGTGTATGTGCCGGCGAGCTAGCGTGCACTAGCTACAGGCGGGAAGAATTCCTGTCATATCCAATCGCTGTTGAGCATCGTCTTCCCTTTCATGCATCGCGCATACTTTGAAGGGGCGTAGACTACTATGTTGCCCATACATCAAATATGGGCACTCACAAATAAATCCAGGCAGTCGCTTCAATCAGTTCCTAAGCATGTGAGCAGCTTCTAAACTGCTGTGGGTTCTTTATCATAGAACGTGTCAAATGCACACTTACGGGTATATCCCATCTGTTAAACGGTGACAGAAAGCTACACCTACAACTGGCTTTGTAGACGGACAATTAGGATTGATATGTGAGTTAGCGTAACCGTGTTCCGTAGGAGGAGTAATGTTCCTGTGGTTGGCAGTCAGCCTGGTAGGAGCGATCTCTTAGTGCTGTCCTACTCTTTCGTGCCCCACTTTCGCTTCCGGTGCCCCGCTCTCTCGCCCAGCGAGAATTCGCACGACTTTATTCGTACTCAATTATTAGGTATCTATATGTTTTATTTCGTATTAAAATCATCAAATCACATGGTGAGATGGGTACGTTCAACATCTTCGTCATAATCAAACATCAACTAAGTTATCTACAGCCGAGCGGTTAAGGCGCCAGCTTCAGGATTATCTAATTCTGCTGGTCAGTTTACTGGCGTGGGTTCGAGTCCCACTCTCATCAACATCATCGGTTGAGCTCTTCGGAGCTCAGCAATACTTTTTGCTCTTTAGCAGCAGCTTTGGGAGTTAGGGAAGTCGCGATATTTTTGGAACATTGTGGATGAGCGAAGTCGGTTAGATCTGTGGTGACGGTGTGCAGCCAGTTTGGGAGCTATCGAATGTTACTTGAGCAGCATTTAGAATCACTATACAGGTGGATGATGACGACATATGTGAGTTAGTTTATCTATGCTACCACTGCATGATGTGTTCGTGCTCCCAAGCTCATTGCGATACTCAGATATGTTCAAGGAATGCGGAGCTTGCCCACTTCGTCCCAGCTCAACCAACCTTCGCGCACTTGTTGCATACGCTCATCTGATGATACTCAAGTTGTTATGTGCATAGGAACAGCAGCGATTGTTGCTTCGTATCGCCAACTACTTGCGGTTGTAGAAGTGCTTCGGAAACAAAGGCTCATTTTCCTACGCGTCACTTAATCACGGCTGACCGTAGGATCCCACGCGCAGGACTCATATACCCCAGTGTCCAGACTCTTCATCTCTTCAGTGGAAAGCTCGAAGTCGTAGAGTTGTGCGTTCTCCTCGATGCGTGACTTCGTTACCGATTTCGGCAGTGGTACAAAGCCCTACACAAGTATGAGTCTGTGCCTTCGTACTTTGAAAAAACGAGCTTACCATCTGCAGGCTCCAACGCAACAAGATCTGGCTTGTCGTCTTGTTGTGCTTCTTTGCGAGCGGCAGTAGGAGCGGGTCTTCCGCCTTTGTGGCGCGCACGATAGGGCTGTAGGCTTCCAGAATGACCCCTCTCTTGTTACACCAATCAACGATATCTTTCCTCGCAAGCCATGGGTGGAGTTCCACCTGATTGACGCTCAAGATGCCTCCTTTGCCCTTGCCCTCCTTCTCACCCGTGCTCTTGATGTACTCTTCAAGTTCGTCGAGGTGGTGTACGCCGTAGTTGCTTACGCCAATACTCCGGATCTTCCCGGCCTCAACACCTTCAACGAGCGCCTTCCAAGCACCAATGCGGTTGGTCTTGCCACCATACGGCGAGTGCAGGAGGTACAGGTCGACGTAGTCGAATCCGGTCGCTTCTAGGGAGTTATCCACGTGCTTCTTAGCATTTTCATAGTTCATGTCCTTCGGAGGTATCTTAGTGGTGAAGAAGATCTGTTCACGTGGGATCCCAGAGTTCTTGATGCCCTCGGCTGATGGTGCTTCATTGCGGTACGCTACTGCAGAGTCGACGTGGCGGTATCCGACTTCCAGGGCGTGCCCGACGACTTCTGCTGCAACATTCGCAGGAGTTTGGTACACGCCATATCCCAATACGGGGATCTCGTAGCCTGAAGGCATCCGGAGAGTGGACGTGAGCGAAAGCTTCGCCATGGTTGATGATGACGTGTGAAACGAACGGGATCTACTCTGGAACTGAGATTGTAGGAGAGAAAATCTTGACAGTGCTGTAGAGACCTTTCGCATGCTTATGAGGTGAAGGAAAAGGGAAATGGACAGTTGGGTTCAGATTATTGATTCTCCGTTGATGAAACCAAGCTACGTCGGAGTTACGCCAAAAGCCGATTTGAAGCTCCGCTCTTTCTGTAAGCTTTGCACGTGATCGTGTGCGACCGATGGAAGGTCTTATTTTAACGTTCTTTACCATTTCTACACCAAGAGCTCTATCTGCCACCAGAAAGCTTAAGCCTTAAGGTTTCACCAGGACTTGTTATTGTTACTGGAGATAACGTGTTTGGCTGCTAATTGACCACATGCGCCTCGGCCGCAACTCGGGAGCGAGTATTATACGAAACCATACTTAACATGTAATCAGGATATCTATAAATGATCTGAGATTGTGTTCCTCGGCTAAGTACTGGCGAGCTATAGACTGTGAAGAGCAGAGTTGCAAAGGAATGATGGACTCTCACTATGGATGAACAGGATGCTATTTTAGATGTATGGGATAATCGTTCACGAGAAGTTCGTTATCATTCCTATTTGCCAGATGCACGCACGTGCGATTCGGCAATTCTCTTTGATAACCACAAAGATTCCAAATGTTGCGTGCCGTTCCGAAGGGTAAGCGAAGTGCACGTACATTAAACAGATTAAAGGGAAACTAGCTCGATACGTTATGTGTCTATGCACTCGAGCAACCAAGCCCTTAAAAGTTAGTCGTCATGAGCGGCAGCAGGCGAAGCTACTGTGCACCTACCTCTTGGAGGATCCCGCGTCCGATCGGCGACAACAGCACAGCCCCATCTTTCGAGATAACGCTGTGTAGTCTGAGCATGTGCGGTGGCAGTTCGTTTTTGAGTACTATCCCGAGCGTCAACTACATTCTTCGGGTAACAAGAGCTGCTCGCCCTCTCGCACGGCACTATAAGGCTTTAGGCACTGATGGTGGCGGAGCTGCTATATTAACTGCAGCAGGAATGGAATTCTGGGGCAGTATCTCGGTTCGATGCACAGCCTTAGGCGGCATGACGTTGGGCGCGAAAGTGGACAGACGACGTCGCTTCGTTGCTGTGGATAATGATGAGCCCACATGACCCACCGGCATGGTGCACATGCCACAAGGCATCCTTGGAAAACGATTTTATGGAGCGTAGTCGCTTGAGGAGTCGGATGAACGGCTGTTAAGGGAGATCGGAGTCTTCGCAACAAACATCGATCTCAGCACCGTACGAACAAGACAAATGAGTGTATCAATCGAGTGTCAAGCTACTGCTTTGTTCACGCAGAGGCTGCATACCACCACTGCTTAAAGTCTGCTATCTTGCAGTACGATACTCAACATATGGGTTTGGACATGATCTTCCTAGGGTGTCAGTCCTTCAGTTCAGCACTTCCTATCATTCCACAACGGCTAGGTGCCTCCGCCACCTATAATCCGCGGCCAAAAGCAAGTGCATAGCTCGTCAGTCACAATTGCGCTTGCTCATGGACGAATAGACTTTCAACATCATAGGGACCAACACTAAGAAAACAATTGTGTTGCGCCTAAGTCCACCTCTTCCATCGAGATAAAGTTGAATTATGAACTCACTATAGGATTGTATATTCTGTAGTGACTCGTTGTATAATCTGTGTATGAAACAGAGCCATATGAATGCATAGTTGACGTTCACACGTCCCTGAGAGCTTAATGTGCGAACTTCAGTTTCCAAGAATGACGGTGAGTAGTATCACCGACGTTCAAGTTTGAAGATAGTTCGGCTCGAGACAAACTCTCCACGGAAGGAAACAAAGGCGAGACTTAGTCTAACATTTAATATTGGGTGAAATAAGCCCCGAATCATGTATACCAAGACGTTCAAAAGACCCAAAGCGTGATACGCGTCCAGACTCGAGTATGTATTGGCCTCTTATTCCAGCAATCGGCGTGCTCTCCTTTGCCGATAGAAGGACCGATACTCTAGCAAGTAAATGTTCCAGGGTCAATGACATCCAGCACTACATTCCGGGAATGCAATCCAGCCTCAGCGACCCCGAGATTATCTGATCCGTCTCACTGTTTTGATATGCATGTACCGCACGATACTTGCAGAAGCAGGCCTGGCTCTATGCCTGCAGGCGCCGTTTCATGGATGTTGAACCCCGGGACGCGGGCCATGCCACCAGTAAGCGAGTCTTTCTTTCCTCTCTCATCTCGCGTTCGCAATGTGCTATTTCGAATATCACTGACAGGCTGGGGAGCGAGTTGCGCATGCAAGGGCGGCAGCCCTCGTATAGCGACGATCAGGAAGCCACGCCCAGATCTTCTCCCGCCCATCCCCCAGCCTTGCCGGCAAATCTCCCTTCTCGGAAGCGCCGCCCACTCAAACGCCCTGAATCGCTACATGCACGTCACACGCCAGCTATTGTATGCCTCGGACGAATCAGCAGCACACACGCTGGTCGCCGTCCAGCAGCGAGCATATGATTGTGCTGTGCCGCTCGGGCAAGAACGCTGCGCCGCAGCCTCGTGCGACTGCTCGAGCATTCGATTGAAGTCGATATGAAACAGAGGCTTCAGAATGGGCCACTGGTGTCGCGTGGCTCGGACATACTGTCTCTTGCGTTGGCAGTCTAAGCGCTCTGAGCCTCTATCACGACCGAGCTGATGACGTGTAAGATTCGTATCAACTGAAATACGCCACGGGATGGAGGGCGGGGAGGCGAAACACCTAGATCTCGTGCACCGTATCGGGATGTAGTCGGTGGTCGGCCATCGGAGAAGTGACATCTGGGGATCGAAACCGCCCCCCGGAATCGGTATTCTTCGACGTCCGACGTACACTGTAGAAATCGGTGCCAGAATCTTGCCCCCTTGCCTACGGCGCTGGACGACCGAACCTGCGCGAACCAGCTCAGCACACGTACAGCAGCGGAGGGGATGCGCTACGCGCTCTCATGTAGCCACGGCAAGGCTAACATCCTGCATCCATTAACTGACCCTTCATTTTCGAATCGAATCGCATCTCCAGGATCCGTGTAGCGGGGGCGAAAGACACTGGACCACGCTGACGGGCGCCGTGTTCATCGCATCGCGGACCAAACCCTCCGCGCAAACACGAAACTGCACCGCCAAAAACGCTCCGACGCAATTGCGCTTGCAAGCAGCCCGTAGACCTCCCCCACCATGCATGTATGAGAAAATCTCACGCTCACCATCTCCGCACATACCCAGCCTCATTTCCGCCCATCCTTCACGCCACGATCCTCATCCTGCTCTACGAGCAAAACTCCCACATGCATCCCCTCTCCCAGAAAAACTCTCAGTAGCACCCTAGCCCGGCCCCGTTCCTACCTCCCATAGCCCCATCCCCTCTGCCACTCCACTTCCCCCAAACACCTCGCTTCGGGGCCCCACTCCCCCCCACCCGCCTCCCGCACGAGTGATCCAGCACCCCCAACGCCGCCCACGAACCTCGCGCCCAGCCCAGCGCAAAAGGAACAGCACGCACTAGCCCGTGCCTATTACGGCTGGGAACCCCCTACGCCATCGCGTCCGTTC